TGTTTGGGCATTCTGAGTGTTGGCTTGGGGATTTCTCATTTTGCTTTTCTTGATGAAGACCGCTGGCCAAAATGTCAACCAATTTTCTTAATTCTCTAGAATTGATATTCTGCTGACCACAGTATTTCTTCAATCTTCATGCAGCCCTTTTGCTCCCCAAACTTCTCAACTTGTTTTTTTTTTTTAAATTTAAATGCATGGAATACAATACAGAAGATTGCAAAGGAAACCAAATGTATTGAAACACAATTGTCAAAATTTTTTTAAAAAGCTCATGGACCATTGGTTAAGAACTTTCTTTCATGAATAAGTTTAATAGGAAAAAATGAGTCATGCAATGGAAAATTGCAATTACAATAAAATCTGGAATTTTCATTTCACAAAATCTTGGTTCGAAGGGAACTCAGTAGCCATTAATTCCAACCTCTGCTTACAAGCTATCCCTCTAATCAGCATCCCCACAAGTGATTTCACAGACTTCCCTTGAAAACCTCCATGGGGAGAAGCCAACTCTCTCCTGAGGCCACGCATTCCATTTTTGGTCAATTTGGTCCAATGCAGCAAAGATATATGAAGCACTTACTAAACGCGCCATTTTGTCCTTAGTGTTTGTTAGGAAACTTTTCCTAACATTTAGCCTAATTGCCTTCTTGCAACTCCCCACTCCCTGCTTTATTGCCCCTGTAGCACCGATCAGAATGCGTCTAATATCCCTTTATTTACATATGACAACCCTTCAAATGTTTTAAGACAACTAGCACATCTTGATGATTGATTGCGGATCCAAACACAACAACTTCAAAACAGACTTTTTTTCTGGGTAATTTTTCTTCCTATGAATTATGCAAAGATGATACAAATCATGTTTGTTCACACTGAATGTTTGGCTCTCTTCCCTTAGGGATAATACAGTTTACAACCTGCGATGTGTTATTTTAAGTTATGCATTTTCTACACCAACTCCAGAATATAGTTGGTATGTTGTGTTTATAGCATGTATGATAATATGCAATACATATGCCATCTGAATGTAAGCATCATGAGAACAGGGAATGCTTTGCTTTTGACTTTGGGCCCTCAGTGCCCTGCACATAGTAGGTTCTTCATAAAAGCTGACTGATTTGAATTAAAAGAAAGCAGAGATCTAACACTGTCAATATCCCTGTCTATTTCTGTAGTCTGGTGTGATGGAGAACACGCCTGCTGTCTGTGTATGGCTGGTATGCTGAAATGTTGGAAAGTTGACTTAAGAAAGTGTTTTAAAAAAAGGAAAACTCCTTAAAGAAAAATTAATTGGGCCATATAGTTGCAAATAAAATTCAAAAAAATTGAGTATAATGAATTTAAAGAGGTAGATAGCTAGATCTTTGGTAATCTGATGTACATATTTTGGTGAATATTGGGATAAGAACAAAAGAATGTATAGAGCTCCTGGTATTGAATATGTGAAAACACTATGGCAGATTTCACAAAGGCTTAATATTTTAATGATTTTGCAGAATCTCAGCATTGGAAAAGACTTCAATGGCATTTAACCACAACAACAACAACAACAAAGACAAGGACAAATATAATAATAGCTAGCATTTACATGTCAATTTAAGGTCTCAACAATCTGACAAAGCAAATGGTATTATCATACCCATTTTATAAATAAGGAAACTGAGACATAGAGAGGAAGTATCTTGCTCAGGGTCACAAAGTTAGTAAGAATCTGAGTCAGGGTTTGAACTCAGGTCTTGCTGACTCCCAGTCCTGCATCCAAGTCCACTGTGCCATCTACCTGCCTCATCCTACTTATATCCAAAGAAGAGTTGCTATTGTGAAATTCCCAGCAAAGGGTCATTTAACCATTGCTTGAAGATCTCTAAGGAAAGGTTGGGTTTCTCATTGGCTTGGATATTTTGCCATAAGCTAGCAGTAATGACCTACTAAAGGTTCACAAATACAGTGTTAGAAAAAGGGTAGGAGACAAGTTTTATACTGAAAGCTAGAAGAGACACCAGAGATTGATTATTCTCTCCCTCACTTTTAAGAAAAGGAAATTGAGATTTGGTTAATCTAAATGACCTGCCCAAGGTCTCATGGATGCTAATAGGCAAGGCCAGGATAAATTCTCCAAATACCCTCTGTATGCCATTAGACCTCACTGTTCTCAGAGGTACTATAGTTACTAGTGAATTAATCACTCAGAAGTGAAACCATGGGAACGTTTTCCTTCACATTCAAATTTATAGTTACTAACATGAACCACAAACATAGCATCTTCTTTGTGTTCTCTCCCTCAGAGATCAACCCAAAGGACAAACTGTCTTAGCATGAACCCCCTCCTGTTTCTCCTGGACAGGACATAAGACATTGCATGGGAGCATTTTTGAGACATGGCTAAAGTTGATACCAGCCCTGCATGGAAATTCAGTGTTTCCAGGATCATAGAACTATACAGAATTTGAGAGTTGGGTGGAACCTTGATGGACTCCTAGTCCAACCCATACACAGA